GTACATGGTAGACCAGCACATTTATCAATCGATCCAGTCGCTGCATCCGATGAAGGTGATTATCGTTGTCGTGTTGATTTTCGTAAAGCACGTACAATTAATACAGTGATTTCATTAAAAGTGATAAGTATGTGTCCATTAAAAAAAAACATTACTATTTTAACCCATACAACCTCAAAATAATATTTCATCATTATTGCTATTGTTATTGTTATTGTTGTTAAAATAGTTCCACCACAAGTGCCAAAAATTACTGATCAAGATGGAAATTATTTAACCGGTTTAGTTGGTCCATATAATGAAGGTGATGAATTAACATTAACTTGCCTTACAAAAGGTGGTAAGTAACTATTTTTTTACAATTTTTTTCTCACTTTTTAATTTTTTTTTCTTAATTTTTACAAATTATAAAAGGAAAACCACGACCATCATTAATATGGTGGAGAGATTATGCAATCATTGATGATTCATTTGAATTTGATGATCGTGACGGTATGCATTTTGCTTTAATGAATATTTAAAAAAAACAACATCTCAAGTAGAGAATAAAGAATTTGAAAAGAATTTAAAAGAATCGAAAAACTTCAATTTTCTTTCCCATTACTAATATATTTCTTTCTTTTTCTCTTTCTTTTTCTTTTTGTATCGTTTTCTCTTTTCTCAAATAAATAAAAAAAAAAACATTGGAAAAAAATCAACTTGTATAACAATAACAATCATCATTATTCAAAAATGATGATGATGAACGAAATAATCGATTATCATAATCGATTATGATGATGATGATTTCACTTTCACTTTATCCTTTTTTATTTCCCCTTGTTTCAAATAAAAATAAATAAATTCTAAACATCCAAACAAAAACAACAAAACAACAAAATATATTCAAATTTTATTAACCCTGCTAAAAACATCAACTACCGCGTAAACATCAATTTAATTTGTCGGTCGGTTGACATGGATGGAATTTTTTGGAATATTTATTCAAAAACATTGTTTTCATCATTATCATTTCATTTTGCATAAATAAAAAAAAATATTCAATTTTCATATCATCATCAACAACAACAACAAAAACATTTCATTTGATGATGGTGGGCCTGATTAATTTTAATATTCATAATCATCATTATCATTATCATCACATGACCATAATAATAATAATAATAATAATCATAATGATGATGAACCACTGGAATAACGGAATTCTATGAATAAAAATTCTCTGTGTGTGTGTGTGTGGCTATCTATATATATGGCACTTTTTTTATTATCGTTTTGTTGGTGGTGGTGGTGGTGTTTGAAATAATGATAAAACGATTTTAACCCAAACCAAACCAACCATTCGACCGACTAAATAAAACTTTGCCCAAATGAAATGAAAAAAAAACACACACATAAACTTCTTTTTTTAATGAAAAAAAACTTCTGATCTTTGGTGTGTGCGGTGTGTGGTGTGGTATTTGGGATGATAAAACCAAAAAATTCTCTCTCTCTCTCTCTCTCTCTCTCTCTCTCTCTCTCTTGGTTTTCGTATAATTCTTTTTTTCGCTTTCATCATCATCATCATCATCAACATTTTATTATTCTGTACTGGTCGATTATAACGATTTATCATCATTTTTTTTTTTCTCTCTCTCTCTCTCTCTCTCTCTGGATTCTCATCACCATCATCTACTTTCTCTTGCTGTGTTTTTGTGGATGGAATTTCCGTTTTTCGTATATGAATATCGATTTTTTTTATTCGACCCACTTTTTCACTCTTACTGGGCGTCTATTTCAACACAACAATGTGATGCTAAAATGTTTGTGTGTGTGTGTTTTCTTTCATTTTGCGTGGAAATAACCCCATCATCATCCGCCTCCCACCTACCATTAACATCGTTTGGACAACAACAACAATGGAAAAAAAAACTTTGCACTATCAACTAACCAACCAATTGTTTTTGTTGTTGTTGTTGTTTCAACGATAATAACAACAACAACAACAACTAATCTATCATTATCAAACACCAACAACAACAACAACAAAATGAATAATATTTTTTTGTTCTGGGTCCATTGAATCCAATTTGCCAAACTTATTTTTCGTTCGCAACGGATAATAAATATTTATGCACATCTTTTCGCAAACAAACGAAAAACGTTGAATCATTATCATCACCATCAACATTTTATCATCAAATGTTTCGACAATGATTAATTTCATTTCCCTTGATTTTAATTAATCATTTTTTCGCAATTCAATTCAATCAACCAACCAAACGCAAAAATCGATTAAACGAATCATCAATTTTCATGGTTATTAACATGAACTTTTTGCCAAACTAAAAAATCCAACTAAATGCAAAATTTACCTGAATTTATCATCCATCAACTTTATTTCAATTTTTTTCTTCTCAAAATTCAAATTTTTCCAAATTTTTTCATTTTTTTTTTTTGAAAATTCAATTTTGATGTGTGTATGGAATATTCTGTGTTTTGTTTTTTTTTCAATTTTTTTTTTGGCTTGAAAATTGATTTTTTCAAAATGAAAAAAATGAATTTTTTGCAAAATTCAATCATTTTCTGAATCTAAACCTTCTTTCGGTGTTACATGTGTGTGTCCTTGGTGTTTTTTAATATCAAAAAATCTTCATTTTTTCGTGTAACCAAAATAACCGAAACTGGAACGAAAAAAATTCAAAATCAAATTTTTCGGAAAATTCAATTTTGTTCCAAAAACCCTTTCATAAATATCGTTTTTTTTCGGTTATATTCAACGAAAAATTCAACAAAAAATCGATCATTGTCGATCGGTTTGTGTGTGTGTGAAACAACTTTTACACATTTTTTTTTTGTTATTCTTTCCAATTTTTTTTGGTTGTGTTAAAATTCATGATTCTTCTTTTTTGTTGTTGTTGTTGTCATTCACATCATCCACAACATCCAAATCATCATTCAACATTTGAATAATATCAAATTCATCCATGTGTCTATGTGTGTGTGTGTGGTTTTCATTCATACATTATTAAATTATGGTTTGTTGTTTGGTGGATGTTTTTCTATTTTGGAACAAAAATTTGTCCATTGTGTGCTGTGGTGGTGGTGGAAATTGATTTTTCCAATTTCTTTTTTGTGTTTTCTTTTTCTGTGTGTTTGTTTGTTTGTTCTGCATGAATATTCATTCGAATATTTCAATTGTCTGTTTGATACATAAATTTCAACCAAAAAATTCTCGAAATTCATTTTTCCATTGTCATTGTCAACATGGTAATCATCAATATTTTTCCACTGTGAAAATATATCGAATATTATACAGTGACTACAAACGAATTGGTCATTCAACGTTTATCAAGACATCATTTGTTAGCAATATTAATGTGTCAAGCAATCAATTCTAATCTAACATCAACAATAACAACATCATCATCATCATCATCATCGTCAACAACAGCAATATCATCATCATCATCATCATCATCATCATCAACAGCAACGGCGACATCGACAATACAAACATCCAATTCAATAACATTGGATCTAAATTGTATGTTTGTGTTTCATTTTGGCTTTTTCCCCCATTTCCAAAACATCTATTTGAAATCAATATATATATGTATTTTGTCCTCATTCTTTTCTGATTTTGCTTTTTTGATTTGTTTTGGCTATTTTTAACTTTTCTTTCGTTTCCCTCTTATCAATTTTCAATTTGAAATCAAATTTGGAAAATTGTTGTTTGTTTGGTTGGTTGGATGGATGGATGGACGAATAAAAAAAATGTCCCCAAAAAAAACATATTGTGTGAAAACAACAAGCAAACAAATATTCTTTCGTCTAGATTCTCATTAGTTTTTTTTCCATTCTTTCTTTATCAATTTCTATTTTGGGATTTTGTTGGCTGGTTGGTTGGTTGGCTTAATCAATTTATTTAGGCCAAAGGATTTTTTTTTTTTTTTTGGTAAGCAATTCCAGAACAATCCAAAACAACAACAACAACAACGACAACAACAATTTATATGAATTATAGCCGAAAAAATGGTTGTTTTTCCAATAGAAGAATATTCTCGCTGTGTGTGTGTGTGTGTGACCGGTATATCGAGTTATCGATTCAAACAGATTTAGTTTTTTTTCATAAAAAAAAAGAATCAATGAATCAATGTTTTCTCTCCCTCTCTCTCTTGCTTGTTCAATTCATTCATCCATACATTTATCATCATCATCATCAATACAAGAATATCATTGAGATTTCAATATGGACATATATATTTTTTCTGTTCTCAATTCTGTTTTTCTTGGAAAGTGTGAAAAAACAACCGATCATTTTGTTGTTGATACAACTTCGAAAATGAATCACGTTTTTTTTCGCTAGTTTTTTGTTTTTCTGTTTGTTTTGAAACAAGGAAAACATGTTCAACAAACATATTTTTTATTTGCTTGTTTTCGTTTCATACATACATAGAATTATTATTACGGTGGTAGTTGATGTCATTATTCATTCATTCATTAATTCTTTCTGTGTGTGTGTGTTTTTTCGCGGGAAATTCAAATATTTTTATGATTCCAAGGTTATTTTGGGGTGCCCAGTGCTATTTTAGATCCATTCATTTGACATTCAGAAAATTTTGTTTTCAATCGTTTGTTTTTTGTTTCAAATTACTGATTGAATGAACACACAAAGTTTATTTGGAAATTTTAAATCTTTCAATTTTTAGTTTTATTTTTTCCATTTGATTCTAGTTACCATCGTTTTTGCTGTTGCTTGATAGATTCTTTTTCTCAGATAATTTTTTTTGATTGTGTGTGAAAGAATATACCAAAGAATATAAAAAAACTGAATATGAACTTCATTTTCGTTTCTTTGATTTGATTTGATTTAGTTCAGTTTGGTTTCTAGGAGACAGCTGTTGGCTGTCATTTTTGTCATTGAATTCTGGTAAAAAAAAATTTTTTTGATTTGATCAAAGAATAATAATCGCACCCATTGCAACCAAAGAAAAAATCATTCAAAAGGAAAATAATTCAAAGATTTCAACTGTTTTTTTTTGTTGAATTCTCTTTTCGACAACCAACCAAAAGGTTAACGAACAGAATTTCCTGGATTCATATACTTGATCTAATTTTGAAATTACATAATAATCCTGTTGTTGTTGTTGTTGTTGTTGTTGTTGACCGTGTGTTTGGTTATAACAAACAAACAATTCTTGGAATATAACGACAACAACAAACAAACAACAACAAAGAAAGCAAAAAAGCTCAAAAATTACACTTAATTCCGTTACCGAAAAAAAATTGAAAGCGAAAAATCTTACTGTTGGTTAAATAGGATTGAAAAAAATATGAAAATCTTTTTTGAATGAGTTTCATGCATATGTTTCACACCAGCCAACCAGCCAGCCAAACAGAATTTGTCATTTTTGGTACATTTGGACTGAAGAAAGTAAGAAATTGAAATGAAAAATCTCTCATTCGGATTCTGCAAATGTATTTTGATTCTGTGTTTTTTCGTTTTTTGTTTTTTTGTTTTCGTTTGACATCAATATTTCTATTTCGAATGACAAACGCAGATGTGACACACGTTGTGTTTCAGTTCAGTTCATTTTTTTGTTTTGCACTTGGATCATCGATGAAACATCATTTTTTTTATCATCAATGATGATGAATAAATATGGTTGAAAAGGATTCATTCGAGAAATCTTTCTGGGAATGTTTTTTTTGTTTCCTTCGAGAAAAATAATTCAAAAGAAAAATTACAGGAAACTTTTTTCGGCAAAAAAAAATTTAATTATTTTTTTTTCTGAAAATTCATTCAGTAATTTTTTTTCAACACTCACCGTCAATCTTTCCAGGATTTTTTCACCATCTTCTTCTTTATCTTTGTATATTGAAGAAGAAAATGAAAATTTTCCTGAGAAAATTCCTTAAAACTTTCCCTACTAACACTCATCTGTTTAAGTCTACATTGTTTTTATTTTTTGTTTCACAATTAAAAATTATCACCTAAAAAAATTTGAACAGGGAACAAAAATTTTCATCAAACATCATTTATTTACATAAACTTGTCTTTTTTTGGTTGTCAGGATTCCAATCTTTTTAAGTTTTTTTTTTACTTTTTTAAAAAATTTTCATCAAGGAAATTAAGGAAACTTTCCTAAGTTGACAATTAATTTCATTTCATTTCTTGATTCTCTTTGAAAATCTTTTTAAATTTCCCCTCATCACCACAGCAACAACAAAAAAACTATAGTGAGAAAAAAAATCCAAGAGAAAATTTCCGGGAAAGCAATATTTAGCGAAAAAAAAATATTTATTAATCAAAATATTAATCAGATTCATTCAACCGGATAGTTAAATTCTTGCTAGAAGATTTCTCAAAGGAATTTTATTTCTTAAAAAATTCCGTAATTGAAATTTTTCATTTTCAAAATTTTCTTGTTGTTGTTGTTTGATTAATTCAACAACAACAACAACAACAAAACAGATTTATAATGATCCCCAAATGTATTCAGTAATTTTGAAATAATTTTTCAACAACTTTTTAAACTGATTTTTCTTCTTTTTTCTTTTTTTCATCATGCGACTTCGTTATTCTTAACCGGTTAAATGGAATATTAACCCTGGTGATCGGGAATTCTTCGGATGATGGACGACTAAATTTTGACGCAATGCGTAACCAAACGCAACGGTACAGTAAAACCAATCGAAATAAGAATAACACAACTAACACCAATATTAGTGGCCGGTAATGATGCATTATTTGAATGTAATACATTTGGATCCCGGCCAATGCCAATCATATATTGGTTATTTGATGGTAATCGTTATGATACAAGAATTCATGGTAAGCAAAATTGTTACCTGTGTTACCTGTCCATAATCTATAATCTATAATTTTTCCTTATTTCTTTCGAAAACTTTTTTTCCATTTCTCTACCTGTTTGATAAAACCTTTTTCAATTTCAAATCATTCTATGCGCGATTAAAAATGCCAAAAACAGATTTTTTTTTTTTTTGCAAACGAACAAAACTTTTAACCATTTCTTTGCTTTGCTTTCAATATTTCCATCATCTTTGCCGAATCAAATGTTCAACAATGAACAATTGATTCAATGGGATCCCTATTTGGAATTTGATCAGAAAAACTTTTCTGGAAAAGTTTTTTTCTTTTGGGATGAACCAAAGTTTTTTTTTGAATTGTAGATTTTCATTCATTCTTTCATTCAATTTTTTTTCTGGCGTAAACCGCTATTCCAAATAAATTTGGAATCGGTGAGAATTTTTTTTTCAATTCCATTTTCATTTGATTGATATCTGAAGCAAGAAAGAAAAAAAATTCTCACAGAATCCGAATTGAAAGAAAAAAAAAATCTTGTTTAAACTCATTCTATCATCAACAGCAATATTTTTGATTAAAATTGATTCTGAATTCTAATTTCCATATTTTTTTTCTGTAAATCATGATTCTTCTGTAGATATGGCAAGAATATTCTGTTATTTTTTTTTCTTGATTCATATATGATAATCATCATCATTCAATCATCCATCGACAATGTAATCGAGTTTTTCTCTAGCTCTCTGAAAATACATTATTCATAATGTTTATCCAGAGAATGTTTGAAAAAATGTTTGTTTTGAAAATTCTAGTTTTTCATTCTTGGATTCTTGATTCTGTTCTTTTGCTAATTTATTTGTATTTGCAAGGCTTAAATCAGAAAAACAACAACAAACAAACAAACAAACGGAAAAAATCCAATTTCTAAACCCTTTGGCCACAAAATGAATGGAAAAAACAACAACAACAACAACAACATGAAACAAAGATAGAAAACTCTCACTTTTCTCTTCTCTTTTTGTTGTGCCAACGTGGCCACCACTACTACATTTTCGATTCTGGGACTAAAAAAAACATTCAAGAATGATGATGATGATGATGTTTTATCAATTGCTTCCGCATTTCAATTGAATAAACATCATTCAATTGAAATTGGTCGAAATATATCATCACCGAATGAACAATGTTTTCAAATGATGATTATGGCGGTGGCGGTGGTGGATATAAATATTGTATAAATATCATCAAGTATATATCGAATAAATAATGGTAGAAAAACACTGAAGTAAAAGTAAAATTCTTCATTGAAAAACCTGGAATATTATTATCGCTTGTTTAAATATTGACATTTTTGTTTGTTTTTTTTTGACCATGAATAGATATCATTATTTTTTCATCCGAAAATGAAAAAGGATAGAATAAAATAAAATACTTTTCGCAATCACAATTCTTCTTCTTTTCTTTGCTCAAATATTCCAAGAAGAATATTCTGGAAGATCATCAACGACACCCGGAATACATTATCTTTTGCTTCAAAAACAACAACAACAGACAAACGAACGAAAAAAAATATTAAAATAACAATAATATCAAGGGACACTATCATCATCATCATCATAATCATATAGATTGTTCTCAAGAGTGTTATCAATCAATCGATCGATGTTTTAATAATAATGATAAAATGAACCATCATTTTTTCCATATATAAGTTGTTTTTCGTTGAAGAAGTTGCTTCATTTTTTCTCAATCAACAACAACGTTTCACTTTTACTTTTTACTTTTTTCACTTTTCTTCAGGACACATATTTAAGATTCAATTAAGAAAATTAAAAACCAAGCAAGAGAAAAAAATCAATAAATAATAATAATGATGAAGAAAAAGTGTCAAAAGATATCCATAGAGTGTGAGTGTGTGTTAATAAAACACCATCCATTAGTGTTGGGTGTTTGAAAGTGATGATGATGTAATGTTTTGGCAATGAAAAATAATTTTTAAATAGAAAAATTCTTCTCCTGTAGTTAGTTTATTCCCGATTCACTCATCTATCGTTTTTGTTGTTGTTGTTTGTTGTTGTCGTCGCTTGTTGTTGTTGTTGTTGAAACGAACGAAAATGAACAACAACAACAACAACAACTGAAGAAAATTGATGATGAATTTTTTGTTTCCAGAAGAAATTTTCAAAAGTCAGAAAACAAAAATGAATTATATTAAGACAAATGATGAATATTTCTTCTTCTTCTTCTTCTTCTCTTTCTTCTGTTGATTTTGAAGAATATTCTGTTTTTTCTCGAAGAAAACAAAAACAAATGGAATACACAGGTTTTCGAAAATAATCCATTCTTCATGTTTAGTTATTCAAAATTTTTGCTTGGTTACATTTTTTTTGAGAATGGATTAATAAATTCTGTAAATTCTGTAAATTAAATTCTTTCAAATTTGACAAATAAACACACACACAAACATTCCATACACATTAGTTATCTGTATGGAATCATTATATTTTTTCATCTCAATATGTTTCTATGGAAATGAAATGAATGTGCAAAAAATTATTCAGCATCCATTTTTCGCTGTTACCCATCACCCCACACACTTTATTATTATCATTTTGGAAACAAAAAAAAATCCCTCTGAAAATGTCAAAATATTGGATACAAAACATTGGATATTTTGAAAAATTTCATTTATGAAAAAATAAAATTTATCTTTTCGGTTGGCCGGTAACCAGAAAATGAATATTTTTCGTTGTTCGAAAAAAATGACCTATTTTGATGGACGGTTTTTTTCTTTGCCAAAAATGATATTCAAGATTTCTGTTTTTGATTTTCTGATTTTTTTGGATTCATGTTGCTGTTTATCACTGTGTTTATCAAATGACAAACACATTTTTTCGTTGATTTTAATGATTCAAGAGAGAGAGAGAGAGAGAGAGAGAGAGAGAGAG